TTAAAAAAAAAAAAAAGCTTTGTTCTAAAAAAAAAAAACTAGAGTAGATGGACAGAAATGACAAGGTCAGGAGATGCTTGGTGATTGTATACAGTAGGTGAAGGAGAAAGAAGCCGTGGTTACTCCAAAGATGGTGATGCATTGATAGAAGAAGAGATCAGGAGGAGGGGCCAGGTTGGGTTTAGTCTCGTGAAGTTAAAGGTGCTTCAGTTTCCTCCAACCAGAAACACACAGCATGTAATTGGGCACACAGTGTGAATGACAGGATAAATCTATTGATTTGAGCCCAGGGAAGTAGATGAGCTTACTCACTCAGTGAATGTATGTGTGGTGGGAAGGGGTTGAGAATACAACTCCAAGGAAACTAAAGAATCCACAAATAAGCTAAAATAGGAGACCAAAAATGAGGAGGACATTTAGGATAGGAAGTGATAGTCTGTATTTCAAAGTTATGTACCTTGCTAAAAACCCATTTCCAAATTCACTTCTGTATCAGTATAACCCAAACCTTCTCTGGTCCCTCTGTGTGGTGTGGTTTTGCCCATTCCTGCCATTGAAGTGGATCTCAGCACACCTTCAGTTTTACTGAAGAGTTCAGGGGGGAGGAGGTCGGAGCAGAGGAGAGAAGTCTTTACGCAACAAATGACAGAGTATATTCTTCAAAATCCTCCAGTAGAGATGAGCGTTCTTGCTTTCTGTCTCCAACTACTACATCTCTCTGACTTTGTCTTGCTTCCACTAAGCATCTTCTTCTTCCTCCTTTCTTCAGTGTTTTTCCCTCTTCCTCATGAGACATGGATACCAGACTAAAATTCAGCTTTACCCCCACAGTGCTTATAAAAGAGTCTTCTCATCAACGTTGTTTTTTCCCTGCAAAAGAACCCCAGTTTCAGTTGCTAACAAGTTGTGGTTTTCTGCACATAATCACGGGCATTCATTTTTAGGCTACTAAATGCCAAGCTTTCTTCTAGGCACAGACAAGGGAGATTGAAAAATATAAGTTAAAGTCCCCATTTGAAAGTGGCTTCCATCATGATTGTGGACCACAAGATATCTGTGAGCCAACAAGAGAAAGAGTCCAAGGGGCTGTGTAAGCCATCATGTGATTGAATGTTACAAACTCTGTGTGCATAAGTGCTATAGGCCATAAAGCCAGGATGTGGTCCTAAGAAATGTCTACAACCAGATGCCCTTCCATGATCCTTCAGCAATCTTTTTGCCCACTCTCTTATTCTGTAGGAGAATCCATAAGGGATGCCATGGGGATTTCACATTTCAAAGGGAAATGGTGTTGTGTGTACTATCATCATATGTTTATGGGCTAACTTCCAGAACTGTCCACTGTGCTTTCTTGGCAGATTCCGGAGCCTCACCACTGCATTTTTCAGAGATGCCATGGGTTTCTTATTAATGTTTGACCTCACCAGTCAACAGAGCTTCTTAAATGTCAGAAACTGGATGAGTAAGTGGGACCAAGTCACTTGCATTGGCCACTTTGGGCCCCAACAGCACTATTTGCTTCTTTGCCTCCCAATATGAAACCAGATTGGGTTCCCCAGATTAACCTTGGGAATCCATGAGTTTAGCATTTCCTGTGTCACCTTCAAAGTGATGGACTATAGGTGGCTCACCGAAGGTGGCTTGGGATCATACCTTCCTTTGGCACTCTTAGAAGAAGCCTGCATAGCTCTCACAGCCTATATATATAATAATATATAATATTCAAAGTCTTTATTATCACAGTTGAAAGGCTATTAATTCCATTTATCCAGTAAGTCTTAAAGGACTTCTTACAATTATGTGAGCTACCACATCTAATCTGGAAAGGAGAGAGAGAAAAGCAACAGTGTTTTCTGAGAGGGTACACTGGCACCTAAAAATGTATGCCCTTGCATACTGGTTAACTAATAGATGAATTAACGGATGGTTAATTTGGTGAGAAACTGCTCCAGAGCAGACCAGCCACATGAAGATAAGGTACAGTGTGTCAATCAGCTCACATTGAAATTTTACTTTTTTGGAAAAAAATGTTCAAATGTAAGGAAGACTTAAAATGAAAAATCTGTACAATTTAGACATAAGTTAACAGTAGCCTAATCAGTTATTGAAGACAGATTGATCTGTGTCAGCATAGGAAAGTAGTATTTGATTTTCGTTTTCTAAAAATTGATGTAGCACTAAAGGGAATACTTTATTTGCATTTTTATTATAATAAAAAATTTTGATCCTAACGGGATATACAAGCAGTCCTATGGACTGGTGATAGGTTTGTCATTTCTAGATTTGTTGGGGCTGTCTGTGGCCAGGGGGATATTTTTTAAAAATTGGATTGTACTGGGGCACCGGGGTGGCTCAGTCGGTTGGACATCCGACTCTTGATTTCAGTTCAGGTCATACTCTCGGGGTCATGGGATTGAACCCCGAGTCAGGCTCCTTGCTCAGTGGGGAGTCTGCTTAAGATTCTCTCTCCTTCTGCCCCTCCCCCCCTGCTCTTTCTCTCTTTCCCTCAAATAAATAAATAAATCTTAAAAAAAAACAAAAACAAAACACTGGATCATGTTATTCCCCTGCTCAAAGTCCCTCTGGGACCTCCCAACTCACTTGGAATAAAATCCAGAATCCTCCACTCACCTGTAAGGCCTTGGTGATAAGGCCTTAGATTCCTGTGTAATTTACTCTTAATCTGTCCCAGCTCACTGGCCTCCTGCCAAACGTCTCTCCTGCTGTTCCCAGGACAAAAGGCACATTCCCTACTTTGTGGCTTTTGTACATTCTGATTTTCTCTGCCTCGATCTCTCTTCTCCCATTTATGGAGTGTGACAGTTCTCTCACTTCCTTCAAGGGTTTGTTCAAACTTTATCTCTTGGAAGAAGCCTTCCCTGACCACCTGTCTAAACTAGTATGCTTCAGGGCGCCTGGCTGGCTCCGTCGGTTAAGCATCTGCCTTCCGCTCAGGTCATGATCCCAGGTCGTGGGATCGAGTCCCACATCAGGCTCAGTGGGGAGTCCGCTTCTCCCTCTCCCTTTGCCCCTCCCCACTGTTTGTGCGTGTGTGCATGCACACTTTCTCTGAAATAAACAAAATCTTTAAAAAATAAACTAGTACGCTTCACGACTTTGTAGCTCCTCAGTACACTTTATATTCCCTTTTATCACTGCCACGACCTGACATATTATGTATTTCTTTGCTTACTTGTCCTTTTGACTCTCTGCCACTAGAATGTGAGCTCTATGAAAGTACAGACTTTGTTGGCTTTGTTCCATCGCAATAGCCCAAAGCTGGGATTAGTGTCTGGCACAGAATAGATACTCAAAAAAATATGTATTTCTTACTATTATATATTTATAATTACTACATATAACTGCTTTAAAAGTGAGTTCAATAATACAGTTGCTACCATGGGGACAAATACCAACAAATTCTGACTTCCTTCATTGCTTCTCCAACTGAGTGTTTATCCTAGGATTTGTCTCTATTTCCTTTTATTATTGTATTTCTTTCTCTAAATTTTGGGGGTGTTATTAGATTCTGAGGAGATAAAGAGATAATAAGATTATTAGATTCTTTCAGAGAATGATTTATTTATCCTTTTTCGAAGCAGATAAAATTCTTCCTTATTTAAAAAAAGATCCAGAAGAATACTATTGGGATTTAAGATAATTAATTGGCATGTCTCATAACACTTCAATTTTTAACACCCAAGTAATCAGTGTTAAAGGGTAAGCCTTGTCTTCCTCCTCAGTAAAGTTGCATACAGCATGCCTTGAAATAGAAATTAAAGTAATCCCCGTAACTTCAAAAACGTGGGTTGACAGATTTCATATCATTTCCTTCCTTCCTTCCTTCCTTCCTTCCTTCCTTCCTTCCTTCGTTCCCTCCCTCCCCAGCCCTTCTTCATCCTTCCTTCTTTCCTTCCATCCCTCCCACCTTCTCTCCCTCTTTCTTCTCTCTTTTGCACAGTGTATCCTGGAGAAAAAGAAAATCACCTGTCTTAAAATTGTTTCTGCATAAATTTGTGGTGGTTCGGAAACATTCTATTCTAATAGGTCTTCACCTTGGACTTCAGGAGATAGAAATGTAGCCGCTGTGGGGCACCTGGTTGGCTCAGTCAGTTAAGATCTGACCCTTGATCTCAGCTCAGGTCTTGATCTCAGGTTCATGAGTTCAAGCCCTGCATTGGGCTCCATGTTGGGCGTGGCGCCCACTTAAAAAAAATGTAGCAGCCTCTTAAAGGAAAGAGCAAACTTACTTAAAATTCCTGTTCTATTATCTCTACTTATATTTGAGGAACAAATAGTCTGAAGCAGTATGTCCATCTTGGAGGACATGGCCCCAGGTATTCAAGAGCACTGATAGGTGATCATCTAGGTGCTTCATATCAATCATTATTTATATTCACAATCTGCAATTTTTGAGGCATCATCTTCATTCATTTTATAGATGAGGAAGCTGCAGTTGCGTAAAGTGAAGTAACTTGGCTAATATGATATAACTAGCGAGCAGCCAAGCTGGAGGTGAACAATTAAACTAGGAATTTGAAGTATGAAAAAAAGAAAAGGAACTCAAAGTATGAGCAGTCATTTGACATTACTTGTTTATAACTAACGTGCTGGGTCCATCTGCTTTCTTCCTAAGGCCAACTGCAAGCAAATGCTTATTGTGAAAATCCAGATATAGTATTAATTGGCAACAAGGCAGACCTGCCAGACCAGAGGGAAGTCAATGAAAGGCAAGCCCGGGACCTGGCTGACAAATACGGGTAAGTCATTGACACGGAGATGTCATCTGACCTTGCACACTGCTGCTTAGTAATGGAGCAGGAACATGAGGTTGATACTGGGAGGAATCCCCTTGAATCAGTAATGGCCCATGAATGAAAAAGATCTTCCAGGGGAATGTATGTGATCTTTTAAATCAAGTCCTTACTAGTAATAGCAGCTAATGTTTGCTGAGTACTTATGTGCCGACAACTGTCCTTAGACTTGAACTCATTTAACCCCTCATAATCATACATAGGGGATCTAGAGTCATCCCATTTTATATATGAAGAGTTGAGGCATAGAAGGATTAAGTAACTGATGGGAGGCCATGTAGCTAGTAAGTAGCAGAGCTGGAATTCAACCCAGGCAGTCTGAGATCAGAGCTCATGATCTTCAACATGATAGTTTACTGCCTTTCCACTATGAGCTGTAAAACTCTAAAAAGTAACCCCTGACCAGGACATGATACTGCAATCCTCATCCTAGCTGAGCCTAAGTGGCAGATTAAAAAAAAAAAAAAATTAAATACCTCCCTACAATGATAAATTGACTTCCAACACAGACTTTAAATTTAAAGCAGTTTCATCATACCTGCCAATTTCTTATGGAAGACTTTTCCTTGAGAGCTTTAAAAATGTGTAACTTTTGATTCCATATGTAGACTATTTATTTACATGTATCTCCTATTCAGTGCCTGCTTAATTTCTAAGTCGAATTTCCAGATAATTGATTAGAAGGGAAGTGATATTTTAATGGTAAGATTTATCACTAGTTTAGGTATTTCTACCCTCTTAATTTTTTTTGTGAAATGCTAATGACTGAGCTTCAAATTCCTGAGTACCTCCTGTATCCGTTTCCTTGTCCATAAAATCGGTTATACCCATACGAGAAAGCAGCCCATCAATTTTTACTCACTGAGAAAAAACAAGATGCTTTCCAACTCAGTGGGCAAAACTGTGATTATTTCACCATCTCTCAGCCAGCCATGTTTTTGCCTGTGTTACTCATTTGTACATCTTGTTGTGTCTTTTCTGATTTCTTCCTCTCAAAAATATGTGTCCTCTCTTTGATGCAAGCATACCATATTTTGAAACGAGTGCCGCGACTGGCCAGAATGTGGAGAAAGCTGTGGAAACCCTTCTGGACTTAATCATGAAGCGAATGGAACAGTGTGTAGAGAAGACACAGATCCCCGACACTGTCAATGGTGGAGACTCTGGAAAGCTAGATGGGGAAAAACCAGCAGAGAAGAAATGCGGTTGCTAGACCCTACGTAGGAACTGATTATCAAAAACCCCACCCAAATATTACTTCCAAAAAACAGCGACAAACCACAAAATTGTTGTGAGTAGACCATGCATAATGGCATGTTTTTCTTTTTCTTCCAGAAAAATCTATTTTGAGAGACCAGAATATCAACAGTGTTAAAAAGAATTGACCAGTTGTCTCTGAGGCGCCCTCCAAACAAGATCAGAGATTTCCTAATGTGATCTCATGGTCATGGATGCTCAATTTGTTGTTGTTGTTGTTGTTGTTTTTTATGAAGAACATGAGTATATAAGAAAGTATTCAAGATGATATCAGTGAGTTTTAAATCAGAACAAAAATGACCATGTCACATGGGGATAAGGAATAGGCCACTAAAGGGAGAATATAGAAAGACAATTTTTTTTTTTAAAGATTGGATTTACTTCTTACATAGAGTTTGATTTGTACTTTTAGTTTTGCATTGGGAGAACATGTTAGCTAAAATTGAGGATGCAATAAAGAATTCTAAATGGATCATTAGTAATGACATTACTATGTACACCCAATAAGCTGTCCTAGGGTGACTCAAGTACTGGTAAGGTTATGAGATTGTGAATCAGACTTCTGTTAAAATGGGGGAGATTGTATATTAATGTCATTTTTATATTCTTAATAAATGGCAGATAGACAAGAACAGGACTGTAAACAACAAAGTACAAGAGAAATGCCCTAGGAGAAAAATGAAAGTATGAAAATATGGCATTTGGACAAATGAAATTAAATGTGTCTGTTACAGATGTCTGGAAGAATCATTTAGTCAAATTTCACTCAAGCCAATTAGAAGTTGACATTATCAGTTGGGATTAAGAGAGTCTCCAGAGGTTTCCCTTTCCAAACAAAATTTTGGAAATCAGTTCAGTCAGTGTTCAGTTTCACATTTCATTTTCTTAGTAAATGGTCACAAGGAGAAATTAAAGATTGTCATTTATTAACTGTGTCTTTAAAAATGCAGTCAAGAAAAACTGTTTAGCTTAATTGTTTTTAGATAAAATATGTCAGTGATATGAAAACAAAAAGTTATGAATAATTGTGGGTTTCTTTTTAATTTACAAAAACACTGGAAACTCTAAATCACACTTCTACCCTCCACACCCACCCCTGACTTTGAATCAATTGCAAAAATACAGGTGTGTCACTTTGTAGATCAACTTCAGGATGATGGATTGATTTTATGGTCACTCTTGAGTTTTGTGATGTCATTCATCACATAAAATTTGATGATACCTCATGCCATATTACAGTATATTTCACATTTGTTTTCATTTGCCTAAGGCAGAATACCCACATTTGAACTATATTTGGGGATAGGGCAGGAGTGGAGCTGTGTCTTTTCTCTCTAAAAATTTGGTTAATCACTTTATTTTTTCATATAAAACTGCCTTTTCTTTTTAAAAATCATTACAAAAGGATTTTCCATTCGCTTATTATTTTGTCTAAAGTGATATTACATTTTTTATCTTAGTTTTTGATAAGCATAAGCAACTCCTATTAAACTATTATTTAAATATTTCGGTTTTATCATTAACAAAGGCATCATGCTTCAAGTTTTCTCTTTTTATCATGATAAGATGGTTCTTCCTATAAAATTTTACCAATTAAACTTCATTCTTCCATACTCTAGGCATATTTTTAAATTATAAACATTAGAAACCCTAAATCCCAGTTCCCCTATCCACCCCCCCAAACCTCTCTCTACAGTCTACGTCTGGTATAGAATCCATATTAGGAACACAGATCCAAGGGATTGTCTAAAATGTTCTTGCAAAATTCTCAGTGTGAACTGCTTGGTTCCTCTGACTTCGGAAGCATAACGCCAGCTTCTAGGATCCATCATGCTTGGGTATTCCCTCCACTGCTGTTTTTCTCTATGATGTGCTTCATGACTTCAGTGCCTGAGCCATGAAGATAGAAATCTATTAGCTAACACCTAAGATGTTTTGACTGAAAGAAAAGTGAGCGGAAACAATATAATCATTGCTGTGGCAAAATTTGGTAAACTTCTATGGTTATTTTATCAACTCTCCTTTGGATTCAAATTGTGATGTCTCTGGCATTCCCATGCTACAGAATGTTTAGCCTTTATGAAATCCTAAAGGTATTCTGTTTTGGATTTGTTTTTTTTTTTTGTTTCTACTCTTTTTCCAGTTATATGATTGACTGACTTTTGCCAAGATTCTGTCATTGCTAGTTATTCAACGAGCATTTATTTCAGGGTCTATTTTAAGATCATTATTTGATAGCTGTAGCATGAAGCAGAGGGTGATGATGCCTATAATTATAGAACTCTGCCTATAAAAATAACAATTATTGGGCAACAATCTCAAGAGGAATGAAATTTAAAGAAGACAAGAAAACTAATTTAAAAGAGTATTCTACTTATAAATAAATATTTGATCTAAGAAAATATTTTCTCTGTCAAGTTTGACATCTGATCCCAAATTCTATGTCACCGTTCCTGGAAATTCCTTCACTTATTATTTCAGAATTAATTATTATATAATTCATTTTACAATGTCAAATTGATTTGGGAACATGAAGTATACAGACTGCTTTAAAGAATTGCATACCTCCTTTAACCCCAAACAGCATGTATTTTAGCCAAGATGTATCCTGTTACTTGTTATCTCCCAAATGCTTTGGTAAACCATATCGTATTTGGGGGAAATATTTAAAATGTGCATGAAATTCCTTTCCGATATAGAAATCATTTCTGGAGTGCTTACACTAGTTTGATGTTTACATTGCTCTAACAGTGCCTCAAATACTTCTATGACCAAATTTGTCTCTAACCACATAGCTCATTTCCTATTATATCATCTTTGAGGAAGCCCTCGCTGAGACACTAATGCAGCTAAAGGCATTCTGATATCTTCAGCAAGGGGACAGGATGTTATTAGGTGATTACCACCATCTCCTGGTTTCCTAAGCTTCTCTCTCTCTCTCTCTTTTTTTTAAAGATTCTATTTATTTAATTGACAGAGCGAGAGACACACACACAGCGAGAGCAGGAACACAAGCAGTGGGAGCGGGAGAGGGGAAAGCAGGCCTCCCGCCAAGCAGGGAGCCCGATGTGGGGCTCGATCCCAGGACCCCAGGATCATGACCTGAGCCGAAGGCAGTCGCTTAACCGACTGAGCCACCCAGGAGCCCCAAGCTTCTCACAGAGTGGGAGTGGGCATTGCTTGAGACTCAACTGTGAGTAGGTACAAGGTTACCTTTTGATGCAAAAAAAGAAAAGCCCTTTGAAAAATGTATCAAAAAATAGCTGAGAAAACATGTTTGTCTTGGTATGAGGAGGGTCACAAGTCATGAATTGGCAGAGAAAATGCAAAATGCTAAGAATTGAGCTTGTGGGTCTCAACACAAGTTTTAGAATTCTTGCAAGTTACCACTTGAGTTGATTTGTTATCATTTCCATAGTATCAGGTATACATTGCAAAAAATTCAAAACCAGCATTTTCTAAAGTAAATATTTCATCCATTGTTTTTCACCAGATGGTCCATTCTATGTATTAGTGGGTGTCTTTGTTATGCTTCTAGCATACGTTATTCTCTGCCAACCTGTACAGGTAAAATCAACTGGGCAAGATTTTAATCAGACCTTTCTTATCTCCTTTGTAAGAAAGAGAAGCTTGACCATAGAGAAGTACGTGACTATATTAAACAATAAATTAACAACAGCCAAAATATGCTATAAACTATAAATTGAATCGACTGGAAATCAACAAATCTGATGAAGCTCATATATAGACTCATCAGCTAGAAAGAGAAGCAATATGTGTAATAGTGAATAACTAGGTATAGTGGAAACCTGGAACCGGTGTCCATGACACAAAATTATTCACTGTTCTGTATCTCTATTCACTTTAAGAAAGGGTACATATGCTTTCCTCAGTGTGTACCATACTAAAACACTGAGGGAAAATTCTCATCCATAAAGAATCTTGGAGTTATAATCTCAAACTTAAACTGTAAAGAGATAATACTGAAGTTTTTGGTTTCCTAAGATGCTTAACTCTTTAAAAGAGAGATCTGAGAGCTGATGTTAGCCAAAGGGATGGAAAAGTTTTTCACCCTGTACCACCAAGCTCTAAAGCATCAAAAAAAGGCTAGTGTATATGAATATTTTATCTTTAAAGATGCCAAGATGCTGTCTATATTTGCAAAAGCTGTATGAAAATTCACCAAAAACTGTATTCTCTTCTTGCTCTTTGACCAATATTAATATAAACTTATTTCTGGGGAGAGTGCTGAGATCTTAAACATGGCAAGTAGAAACAGTATTATCTGAGATGACTATTGTTTCAATGCTTTATAAACCCATGAAAATATTTGTCTCATAAAGTAGGATTGATAAAAATCATTGTTAGATGCTGGAGTGGTGGGGGGTGGGAGGGATGGGGTGGCTGGGTGATAGACATTGGGGAGGGTATGTGCTATGGTGAGCACTGTGAATTGTACAAGACTGATGAATCACGGATCTGTACTTCTGAAACAAATAATGCAATATATGTTAAGAAAAAAAAAGAAGAAGAAGAAGAAGATAGCAGGAGGGGAAGAATGAAGGGGAGTAAGTCAGAGGGGGAGACAAACCATTAGAGACGATGGACTCTGAAAAACAAACTGAGGGTTCTAGAGGGGAGGGGGGTGGGGGGATGGGTTAGCCTGGTGATGGGTATTAGGGGGGGCACATTCTGCGTGGAGCACTGGGTGTTATGCACAAACAATGAATCATGGAACACTATATCAAAAACTAATGATGTAATGTATGGTGATTAACATAACAATAAAAAATTATTTTAAAAAATCATTGTTAGAAATCTAGGGAATTTTAGGAATTTATTGCCTTAGAATTCTGGGTGGAGACCCAATCATGATGACATTATTAAGGAAGAACTATAAAGAGAGGTTAGAGTTCAAAGTAGTCTGAATAGTGTTCTTAAATATTGCAGAACACAGAGAAGACCATGTATTTTGAGGTTGATTTTTAAGTAGAAAACGAAAAAGAATTAGTAACAAGAAGAGTTTTTGTAACTAGATCCAAGGCTAATTTTTATCTATCAAGTGGAAGTTTATACTCTTAGAACTAAGCTAATAAAAACATTTAAACACCAAATATTTCATTAGTGTCAGCAAAATGTGGAAGACTTTGAAACAGTTTGCTCTATCTGAATTTAATTTTCTCATAAATTGCACTTTGACTAATTTTTCAAGGAGTAGAATCACAAAGATGCTTCTCAGCAGATCTCCTTTTACCAACAGTGTGTGGTTGAGATATTTTCTAGCTTCATATATACAGAGAACAAAAAACAAGCAAAAACATTAGCAACAAAATAGTGGGGTTATTTAAAAGGGTGTCAGCTTTTGAAGAAAAAAATATACAAAGGAATCATCTTTGGATTGAGTCATTTGAATTTGTTTCCCAGTTCCTTTTCTTTCCAACAGGTCATGGAAATCATGGCTAATATCCCTCAGCTGATTTAGTCTTTAAGCATCATTAGCAAATTTTGTAGAAGCAAGCATGTCTGTCTTTAACCTAATGG